AGATCCAAGAAATGAATTTAAGATTGTTTATATGATTCGTTCAAATCTACCCAGATTTCTTCGCATCCAACTTTTAGAAATAGCCGAAGCTCTTACCATCCAGGAGCTTAGACGAGAACTATGCATACAAAAGAAGTACGTCTTATCGTTATCGTTACCTTGGCCTTAACTATTTTGATTATCCAATTATTATTATTATTATTATTATTATTATTATTATTATTATTATTATTATTATTATTATTATTATTATTATTACTGCATTCTCCCCTTTACTTATATCTTATATTCTCATTGTTTTATTAGTGAAAAACATTTTTCATCATCTTATTATAATCACTACATCTATTGTTATTGTTGTTATTATTCATATTACGTAATCTAGTATTATAACCATTTTATTAATTGTGTTGACATTTCCTCACGGAATTAGTACTTTTACAAAAACAAAATTTTCATATATATATACGATTGTACAGCTTGATAATAAATTCGTTGAAAAGAGATCCCTTCGGTGAAATTCGTGTTTAAATGAGAACTATCTCTCAATTGAAGATTTAAATAAGTTTTATCAATGTTAAGGAGCTATTCATTGAAAAGTATTCTATTGTATCTCATGACATTGTAAGATATGAGAATTTATCCTATACTGAAAAGAAAATTTATATTTATATTTTAGACAATTAGTTGCATGGATGGCTATTGCTAAGAAGTTTCACAATAAGACGAAATGACTGTCAACTGCTTCCAGGTTTTTAATGATAGTCTAAAATCAATCGGTTCACGATCTCAATCAAAAACCTAATAACCTGCACAACCTATTACTGATAAAATTTGTTTGTTATGCAAACAATCCACACAATTTTCTTCATTTTGACAACATAATCTGAGTTACTATTTAAAACTAGAAAGAACTTGACAGTTGCTTTATTTCTTCAAAGTGTGCATCTATGACTTTGAATCAAATGCTACGCATAAAATCCTGATCTCATTACAGACATAATAAAATAAGTCCATTGAGTTGGAATCCATATTTTTTTTCAATTTTTATTAATTCACAATTGTTGGGGTCAGTATATCGCCGAAATTCATATTTGTAGTTTTATCATATCGATTAGCTTATGGATTAAATGTTTAAATATTTAAATAGCAATCAATTGACGAACTTATCGATTAAATATTTGAATGCCTGTCGAGCGATGAACTTAATGAGTCATGTTTAAAAAACACATTTTACTATGACAATATCGATCATATATATTTGTATATATACGTTTTAAATTGTTTTTGTGGGCTCGCTCGTTTTCTGGCTGTTTGCAGAATATATTTTCCATACCAAGCTCGGACTTATCCTTCTAGATAATGGGGCTAGAACGCATCAATAGCTAGATTACTGGTCTTTGGTCACTGAGTCTTGTTCTCGTTCGCACATTAAGTGAACTCGTGAAGCTTCAAACTTAACAATCTGGCGACGGTGGTTTCGGAAACATGGATCCTTCTAAACTTGAATTATTACTCGAGCAGCAGATGAAACTTATTCAAATGTTAGCAGATGCAAAGCTTAAGTCTAATTCTCAACCAAGCACTTCTAATCCTACTACTACTGCACCATCAGTTGATGGTATGGCTAACAGTATCTCTGAGTTTCATTACGATCTGGAATCCAATGTCACGTGTGATATGTGGTTTCGACGTTACGAAGACTTATTCAAATTTGACTTTGCCAACCAGAATGATGCTTGAAAGATCCGCTTGCTGCTTCGAAAGTTGGGTCCTAGTGAACTAGACAGGTATTGCAACCCGATTCTGCCTCTAAACCTACGCGGTCGCTCATTCTCGGACAATGTTCAGTCATTGAGCCAACAATTCGGAGACAACTCTTCACTGTTCAATGCGCGCTATCGATGTTTGAAGCTCACTATGAACGAAGATGATGATTTTCTCAAACATGTGGGTATCGTCAATCGAGAATGTGAACGCTTCCGGTTGAAGTCGCATACTGAAGACCAATTTAAAGCACTCATTCTCATCTGCAGCCTTCAATCGCAGAAATTCAGTGACATTAGAACACGTTTGCTAAGTCGATTGGACCAAGACCCAAAACTAACTCTTAATGATATTGCAAACGAAAATCAACGTCTAATCAATCTACAGCGTGCTACTACGATGGTCCAGCGTGGTGGTTCAGATCGTGTCGAAATTCATGTAGTCCAACAACCACCCAACTCTCATAAATCTGCCCCAGAGACATCTAGTTCAGGTCGACAGACAAAAACAAATCCTCCTGCCCCATGCTGGCATTGCGTAGCATGGCATTTTGTTCGATACTGTCCATATAAACAACATCGGTGCAGGAAATGTAATGCGGTGGATCATAAAGATGGTTTTTGTCGAAAAAAGAAACCGAGCAGCTCCAGAGGTACCAGAAAACCTACACCTAGATCCAACACGAATTAGTTGAGTCTAATAGCGAGTTGTGAGAACACAACCCCAGTTGAGAGGAAATTTATTACCTTTAATATTAATGGGCACCCGCTTAGATTGCAAATAGATACTGAATCTGATGTAACAATTCGCTCATGAAAATAGTGGATCAGAATGGTATTAGAAGTGCTTGGTTGAGAATTAGACTTAAGCTTTGCATCTGCTAACATTTGAATAAGTTTCATCTGCTGCTCGAGTAATAATTCAAGTTTAGAAGGATCCATGTTTCCGAAACCACCGTCGCCGGATTGTTAAGTTTGAAGCTTCACGAGTTCACTTAATGTGCGAACGAGAACAAGACTCAGTGACCAAAGACCAGTAATCTAGCTATTGATGCGTTCTAGCCCCATTATCTAGAAGGATAAGTCCGAGCTTGGTATGGAAAATATATTCTGCAAACAGCCAGAAAACGAGCGAGCCCACAAAAACAATTTAAAACGTATATATACAAATATATATGATCGATATTGTCATAGTAAAATGTGTTTTTTAAACATGACTCATTAAGTTCATCGGTCGACAGGCATTCAAATATTTAATCGATAAGTTCGTCAATTGACTGCTATTTAAATATTTAAACATTTAATCCATAAGTTGGCTGGAACGCATCAATAGCTGGATTACTGGTCTTTGGTCACTGAGTCTTGCTCTTGTTCGCAGATTAAGTGAATTCGTGAAGCTTCAAACCTAACAACAATATAAAGTGATTTTTATCTTTTTGTTATCACTGAGTTAACATCTCAATTCTAACTGGTTCGGAGATCTTCATCAGAATTTAAAGAAATCTGTAGCTTTTGTCACTTATATTGATAGATAGAAGTAATACGTGACACCAGTTAGAAGTGGAATGTGTGTCAAAATAGAATTGAGAAGACTGAACTGAAAAGAACCAAAAGGGAAACATAAAGGAATTGAGAATTGAAAGAATCATAAAGAATGTAAATGACAACTGATAGAAGATATGAAAATGAAGTATATAATGTATGGTCTTCATAACTTACCAAAACATTATGTAATTTCGTATTTAAAAAATATAAATTGTTTATCGCCACCAAGTCTTAGTTCGTTAAAGTATTTTCTACGGATTTTGAGGCTTCTACTCAAATAGTAAAATATTTATTCAAATACACTCTACTTTTTAATGAAAAAAAAATCTGAGAAGGTTGAAAAGATATGTAGCTAAGGTGAATGATTTTGATAGAGTTTTATTTTCTGAACTGGATGGTTTCCTCGTAGAGCTTTCATTATTCTTCTGAACGACATCATCAGCCAAAACTTCATTTAGAATGATGAAAGCTCCACGACTAAATCATCCACCTCAGAGAACAAAACTCCATTAAAAAGAAAATATAATCTCTTTTATTATTTCTGTTGGAGATGATAGATCCCCAAAACTCATATTTTGTAATTTTATCTTATCGATTAACTTATCGATTAAATGTTTATTTGAATGGTAGTCAATTGATGAACTAATCGATTAAATGTTTAAATATTTGAATGTCAGTCGATTGATAAACTTGTTGATTAATGATTAAATTTTTTTACCAAGACAATATCGATTATAAATTTTTGTATAAATACGCTTGATTTGCATGCCTGATTGAGCTGGTATCTACTGGTTGCTTGTAGAATACACTTCTACGTCTTACCAAGACTTCTTGATCGAGTTAACTGAGTCGGGGACAACAAACCAGAATAGCCTATCGAGTCTCTGAATCCTGATCCTTCGTTCCGTTACGTTCCGAATAAGCCGAAGCAGTAGTGGTATTCAAGCTTAATGAACCTAACAATTTCATGATTTTAATACATGAAATGATGATCATTTAAAAAAAAAATAGTTAATTGATTTCTAATGAAATCAAACAGATTTTTATTGTGTTAAAAAGTTTTTCGTTCACAGAATGAAATAATTTGTTTCATAATAAATCATTTTTTTAAAAAAATAATCACTCAAATAATGTTCAATTGTTCACAATAAAAGAAAAATCACAATGTTTAATTAAATAATGATAATCATCATCATCATAATAATAGTAACTCCACCCGGAGCCCATCATCTAAGGCTACTGCCTGTCCCAAACTTGGATAAAGTAGAGGGGGTTAGCAACTCCATACCGTAGAAAACTAACTCGCCAATAAACGTCAACCAAAAATAAAATATAAGTGATAATAATAATAATAATAGTAATAGTATGGAGTTTTTTTGTCTCATTAATAATAAGAATGAAAAGATAAAATAAAAAATAAAAAAAAATAAATTAATAATCTTTGAAAATTATTCACAATATAAAAACTGTATAGAGAATAAAAGTTGAGACAAATAAAGAAATATCAGTCAAATAATAAATGATCACTTCAAATGATATGCTGTTTTAAAGTGTTTTTTTTGTGTGTGTTTTATTGATTAATCTAATATTGTTAAGTATCATTGAATTGTGATTGATTTACTTTTTGTCATTTTCTTTTTTTCTTTTTTCTTCGTCTTCTTATTCACTAACAAGTTTTAATAATATACGTCGATAATCACCACTGGTATCATCCTGAAATTAAAAAATACACACAAAAATATTGTTTCAATGGTGGTCTAGCTTCGAATGACTCATGATTTCAATCTGTGAAATTTCTAAAATCTCCACAAAACCCCTTCTGATAATAATCATCTGCTCACTGGTGACTGACTTCAAGAGATTCTCCTGGAGTTCTAGTGGGAAGCCGTTACCAGCGGAGTTCAACCAAGTCTGTTGTGAGATATCAGCTCACTGAAGACAATGGTGTACGGTGGCGCAACTTCGTGGATTGGTTGAAGCTAGACATTAATACCGTTGGATGCCGGCTCAGTGGTCTAATGGCTAAGTGCTCGCGCGCGAAATTAGTTGGTCCTGGGTTCGAATCTTGCGCGGTGCGTGGTCGTGAATGCGCACTGCTGAGGAGTCCCATAGTAGGACGAAACGGCCGTCCAGTGCTTCCAGGTTTTCAGTGGTGGTCTAGCTTCAACTGACTCATGATTTCAATATGTGATATTTTGGATCTGATTTACTATGTATACAGCATTTAAAGTGAGCTGTTAAAATGTTCAATTATAATTTAAACAAAGGTCAATTGTACAAGGATTTGAAAAGTCAGTTATTTTTAATCAGTTAGATATTGGTGACCTGTATATTTTGCAGAAATTAAACAGTGTTCTTGTAGTGTTGATTACTATTGCTAAGCTCACATAGCTTATTCTAGCTTCAGGACAGGCCAATTCATTTTTTTTATTCTTGAGTCACATTTCGATCATGTCAATTATTTGCTTATCAACCTTGACTGTTCTTATATGGGGGTTTGTGTGCATTTGTTACCCCATTCATCACATATTTGTAACTTATTTTTGTCCGGCTATAAATGTCGATTAACGCTTGATTAAATTGAGTTGACTCACACACCTTTTCCACTGCGCATCATTTTGCTTCGCTCTCTTCTCTTCGTTTCTTCAATCTATTGTCTGGATCAACGAATGCATGAAATATACGAATTTGAAATCCATTCTCCTATTTCACCTATCTAATTCCGTTGTTCACTAACATGATTTAATTCGATGATTATATACGAGCATAGGCGACATGTATATTTCAATAACAAGCAGCATACGATCATATTGGAGTCAGATTTAGGGTCATTAAATTCTCATATGTCTAATTGGTAATACATAATGAGTTATTTTTGTTACCTCTTTCGTTACAACATTGTATGTACACTTTTAATTTGGACGTCAAGTAAAATCACTCCATATATACTCAGTACATGTAGACCTCTATGAATTTTTTTTCTACAAATACAAAGTAGTTATGCGGTAAAAGCGCTGAGAATACATGGAGACGATAAAATGCAAACAGACCATGGGACTGTTGAATTACTTAACTCATTAAGACTTCCATATGGGATAAATTTACTGTTAAAAAAGGTGAGCACTTTAGTGGGAATAAGATTAATATTTCCTAAATTATATAAGATGACGTTTTGATGGCCTCAATTTATGTATTCGTTGGATTGATTATATATACCCATAGATAATAAAATAATATACATTTGCAAAAATTTATCAAAAGATAAACTTGTTAGATTTAAGACATTGAAGTATTTCAACTAGGCAATATTTAATATAGACTATTCATCGTTGTTAATTAATTAAAGGCGATCAACATGATAACCCTACTTAACTTAAGCTTAACTCTAATTCACACTTGTCAACAAGATGTATGAACAGTTATGAAGGATCATGTAATATTCCGATCAAGTGTTATAAATGAGTCATTCAAGATATCATGTTAGCGATTACCAGTACTTGTTTACCGGTTATTGGTTGAGAGACAATCATATTCTACAAACAAAGATGGAGAGTGGCTGGTAGTGGAATCCAGGATGCAGTTTTTGTCCTAGTTGGGACTCTTCAACTGTATGTATGTACCTCGGAACCCAGTACAGTTCGTTTCAGTCGCCATCGCGTTATCTACTATACTACTGTGCCACTTGCTTGTGCAATGGGGTAAAGTTTAAATTCAACAACTCTAAGATGCAGGTACATCCAACTGACGAGTCCCAAATAGGTCGGAACGCACGTCTTAGATTCCATTGCTAGCCACTATCAATCTTTGCTTATAAAGCTTGTGACTCAAGGTAATATCGAGGCAGTTCACACAGGATGTACAGATACCAACAAGAGACTGATCAATTACAGTCCTAAATAACAATGGGAAGATGCCTAGTGAATTTAATCATAATCTAAGTTTGAATACTCTTGATGATATATATTAAAGTTGATGAGAGATACCCCTATGCTTTAATTTTAGCCTAATATTAAGCATGTTATTATATCATCCTTATTCTAGTTCCAATCATTAATTTAACCAAAGTTGACATTATTATTTTTTTTTCCCTGCGTTTAATTGTTCCTCTTGTCACTATGCTAATAACAAAGGAGATGAAAAAAAATCAAATTGCGAAACATAATTTGTGTTACTTTATGCCAATAAATATTTTAAAATTATGTAAAATAATAATAATTAGAATACTTAACTAGGTAAACACTTCACATTGTGCGTAAATTTGCAGAGAGTGAGAAAGAGAGAAATAAGAGTAGCTAAATCGTCTAAACCATGTGATTCATTCACGGGCCTGGTTACCATCACTAATTTCTTGTTTTTAACATTAAATATTTTTTTCAAGTTCAGTGTTATTGATCCCGGATTACTTGATGAATTAACTAGTCAGACAAATAGTTATTAATACATTTATAGTTGAATTCATGAGTCAATTGAAGGTAGACCGCCATGAAAAACCTTGAATCACTGGACGGCCGTTTCGTCCTATTGTGGGGCTTTTGGGCGCGAACGCTTAACCTTTATACCACTGAATCGGTATCAAACGGTACTAATGTCTAACTTGAACAAATCCTCAAAATTGTGCAACCATCTTCCATTGTACTCAGGTGGATACCTGTCTCTACCCTACACAGATTAGCTCCACTGGTCACGGCTTCTCACTAGAACTCCAAGAATTCACTCAAGAAGCTAACCACTAGTAAGCATATGGTTAGTTTTCCCTAATAACATATTCATAGGTAATCTATAAATAATCGACTGGAAGAATAATTTCTATAATTGTTTTAAGATTTTTTGTAGTTTGGTATCACTAATTGAACTTAGTTCGACAATCATTAGAAACCAGAAAGCACTGGATAGCTATTTCATCCTAGAATGGGACGTTACAACGATAATCACGTCTGACCAAATCAGGGATCGGATTCTGGATCATTCTTTCTTGAGGTAAGTACTAAAACTTCATACCACAGAACTGGCATTCAATCAATTCATGATACTGTGAAATGCCGTTTATGGAGAAATCACTTATACCAAAAATGTTTTATTATTGTTTATTTTTTAATAGTTTACATTTAAGTCAACCGTAGCCTTTATTAAGACTTCCCTGTACATGCAACATAAAATGCGTAGAATGGTTTTGTTTCTACTTATATTTATCATCGTTTCTAGGTCTTAAAAAGCTGGAAAATAACCAATAATTAAACAGATTTATAATGTTTTGCTACGATTGCTATTATTCAGTGACAAACTATCCTCACTTGAATGAATTATAATGCAAGAAATATTTATTCAATTTATATTAATGTTTCTTAAATACATAATATCTTGGAGTTTTGTCCTCTCAGCTGGATAGTTTAGTCGTGAAGCTTTCGTCGTTCTTCTGAATGACATCATCAGGATGAACTTCAGGTAGCAGTGAAATGTTCGAATTTATCCACACTTAGCTCATAGCTTATCCTGTAGACCTCGCTGTTGAGTGGATCTTGTTGGCATTTAACCTTTCATTGTTTACTTCTTTGTTTTGGTTGTATATCCAATTGGTTTGAATCTTAGTCCTATATCTGTTCATGATTTTTGTAACCGGTTGATAAATTGGATCCATTTCAATCTGTTTGTCGATTGCTAGTTGATTTGAGTGCCAATTTTCTAAGAATTCTCTGGTATTTTCATAATTGCCTCTATCCACAATTTCCGCATTTTTCCGATCGAATATGTGTCAACAGTTTTACAAGTGTATTGATATAAGTGAGGATATGTCATGGAGTTTGACCACTAATCGATGTTCATGTAGGCGAAGTGAAGAGGGCATCCGCTTTGTACGATGTAGTGTTTTTCGCAGTTGGCACAATTTATTTTGTATATTATGTTCGGTTTTTCTCCTTTTATCATTTTATCTTTTGGTTTGTATAGAACAGATTGTAACGATTTTGTTTGTTTGTGTGCAACATCTATTCCGAAAGGATTCAACAATCTGGTTGTAGTTTCTGATGTGCCTTTTATGTATGGTCGAGTGATCCGTTTGTTGGTTTCAGAAGAACGATGAAAGCTCCACAACCAAACCATCAAACTCAGAGAACAAAACTCCATCAAAATGATCCACCTGAGCTACAAATCTTCACCATATCAAATCTTATAGAAGAAAAGGGATTTCCAACAAGTTATTTAATAAGTGTTCATAAGTATAAATGATCATGCCTTATCTAGTTAATGGTAACAACTCTCTATAGATTTATTAAATTATGTTAAGAATAAATGTAAAGTTGATTATTCAAACTTACAGCTATCCACGATTCAAGACTTTTTCCTGTTAAACTAATAAATTCTTTTTTAATACGAGCCATATCAATACCAGAACGTCCAACGACTATACGTATCAATGATGAATCAGCTGTTCCAGCACCTTTCATGGAAGCTTTTAATCTTTCAGCAAAATATTTCTGTTTATTAATAACACATTTCACTGAAATAAGAATTAAAAGAAATCAATTTAAATTCGTTTTGAAACAATTAATTATGAACACAAGTTACTCAATGAAGACGGACTCTGTGTTTCAAGTCATCTACAAGGCAAGTAGAAGTCTTCCAACGACAATTATATCGCATCTTCTTAGCATTGCCGAAGCAATAGCCATACATCTGGGAAAACCATAATTGTTTGTTCAAAAGAGATTGGTAAAGGGTCTTCTTCTACTATGTTCTTAGTGTCTTATAACTTTTTTTCTTTCTTCATACTCTTCTTCCTGTACAGCCATCTGCTTTCCCATCCATCTTCTCCTTAAGCCTTCTACTCCTAACTGCTTTATTTCTGTTTCTATGGCCTTCCTGATTACATTTAATCTCAATATCATCATTTTATATTATTATACTGAGCCATCCTTTCCCAATGTTAATTTAACTGTCTATCTTTTGATGAACATTTGAGCCATTACCAATCAAACGGTTGCTAAATTCATTTGTTGTTTACTTGTATCTTTCCATTGTTATTTAGGACTGTAATTGATCAGTCTCTTGTTGGCATATGTGTATCCTGTGCAAACTGCCTCGATATTGCCTTGAGTCACAAGCTTTCTAAGCAAAAATGGATAGTGACTAGTAGTGGAATCTAGGACATGCGTTCCTACCTATTCCGGACTCATCAGTTGGATGTAACTCTGAGATCATGCTCACTCTGGGACTGAAACCCAGTACTGTCTCAGATAGGACGAAACGCGCGTCCTGGATTCCACTGCTAGCCACTATCCATCTTTGCCTTCAAACGATTATTAGTTTCCCTGTTTAAGAAAATTTTTCATACCTTTGTTTATTCTACCACACTGTCACCATGTCTAACAGAAGTTTACTACCATTATATATATATATATATATATATATATATATATATATATATATATATATATATATATATATATAGATGACTAGGTTTCACTGGATAGCCTTTTCATAAATCTTGTTTATTCAAACAGATTTCACATAGTCGATAATAGATATCAGTACATAACTAAAAAATTAGATCAAAATCGAAGATTAAATGACAAAGGTTATATATGAACAGGTCCGAAGTGAAACTTACCAACAGTAAGCATAGCTCGAAGTAAATCTCCACTCATTTCTGATTTTAAAGCACTTTCAATATCTCTTCTACCAAGTGTTGAATAGTGCTGAAAAACTGAACGTAAGTGAGCATAAGATCGATGACAGATGATTTGAATAAATCTGTAGAGACAAGAAATATTCAATTAGATCTTGTAAAATATCAGTATATACGTTTATTACTCAATAAGTCTGCAATCAAATCAAACGGCAAATCTACCAATTTTTATAATTATTCAGTCGAATAGTGAATGGATATGAAAGTTGTACTGAAAATAGTTGGAATTCAAGCAATCAATAGGTAAATACAAATTGTCTGACATTCAAGTTTATCTACTATTATATCCGATTGTCCTTATTCACATTTAGAATCCTGCTATAACCCAACAGATTTCGATTTTCTATAAACAAGCAGGTAGATGTCATGACTTAGTAGGTAAGTGGAGAACGCAGTGGCGTTTGAAGCGAACGGTAGCGGGTTCGAGTCTCGGAATGAACATCAACTCTGAGATGCAGGTATATCCAGCTGACGAATCTAAAATATGACGTAACGTGCCTCCTTGATTCCACTGCTCACCACTATCCATCTTCTCATTATTTCATACTTAGTTCAATATTTCAAAGTTTCAATAAAATATCTACTTCATTGTGTTAACATGTTGGAAAAGAGAATTGAATGAATACACAGAACCCATACCGTTGTAGTGTGTGTTACTGATGTCGACAGATATAAGTAGTATGTGTCATCGATCGACAGTGGAATAGCTGGCGGCAGGTCGTGAAAATCGAAGAGAGGAAAATAAAAACAGAGAATGGTTGATATGGAAACGAAGGAACAACAATGTCTGAGACAATTGATGGATATTCTGCAAATTAAGTATTTACTATATTAATCTCAGATTTTTCCAAGAAAGCCTACAATGTTGTATTAAAATACATTTGGTTGTCACCCATTTGTGTTCACATTCACTACACCGAAGGTCTTCATAGAACATATGTCCAACAAATGTACACTAGTGATATCTAATCGCAGGTTTCTCTGAACGAGTTATTAACACCTTCGCTGAGCTAATTTCAGACTATTTTAAAAAAGTCATCAGCTATACTCGTACGACAGAAAAATTTTCAGTGGATTCTGGAAATTGTTCCACTTTATATCAATTCAACGTTATTGTACAGTTTGTTTATTATTTTAATCAAAAAATGGATATTCGTTGGAGAACTAATGTAAGCTAAAACGAGTTCAGGAAAACGGTTTCAATCAGTCTTAAGAAACCCTGACGGGACTTATTCACAACTCACTTTCAGACCAGGAAAAAAAATGAATATCAGCCAAGTGTAATTCTAATGTCTATGTGTACAGACCTTGAACGGAATAACTAAGGACATATATATAATAAACACTAGTGCACTATCTTGTCAAATACACAACCCTTTTTCATTGTGTGTAGGTGTCATGGGTTTCACTGATACCCAGTATCCATTTTTGCTTATTATTCTTATTATTTTCATAAATTTCCAGCAAGAAATTTAATTTTTGTAACATGTCGATCACATTAAAAATTAAACTGTGACTGATAAACCAAAACGGCAATTAGGAATACACTTTGTAATCATAGTTTAATATATCTATAACAAAAAAATATTGACATATTAAAAAGAAATATCAGTATGAGGTTCTGAAGTTAATTAAATTTTTGATTGAGATGATGAACCGGTTGATGTTAGACCACCATTGAAAACCTGGAAGCACTGGACGGCTGTTTCGTCCTACTCTATGACTCCTCAGCATTGAGAATCCATGACATTTAACAATTTGACTTTCAATAATTAGAATAATACATTAAAAGAGATGAATTATGAGTAACCTTAATATCTAAAGTCAGGTAGAACTTCAGTAAGATAATGTCTCTGATAGCCAGTACGTTTTCAGAAAGAATATTTAATATTATGTTATAATGTTAATGATTCAATAAAAGTAAGAAAAAAAACATATTCAGATTTCAACTGTTCAATCAAGAATTGGGTATCAGTATTCATGACATAAATTGACATAAATATAGTATGTGAGCAGGTGAAGCACTTAAAAATATGAAATGAAAGTGTACGTCTATACGCACTAGTCAGTCACGATTAATATGGCTAAGAATTTCATGTTAATATGGACAGTTTGTAGAAAGTTTTCAATATGAGAATATTTTAAATCACGGACCCAATTTTGTTAGACACCAGGATGTAATCGATATCTGCTTAATCCGGTTATGATACTCCTTATCATTACGGACCCAATAACTACATCAACGATTAAACAAAAGATTTTCAGGTCACGTGATGAATACATTAGCTTTAGACTATCAAGTTAACGTAGTTCAAAATCCTAACTCTAGTGATATGATGAGATTTCATTAATATCGCTCATCTACTTGGAGTCAGTCCATAATGTCAACTACAAAGGTTCAATAATCGTAAGTAATAATAAATGAATCTGCAAAAGAATGAAAATTTCCTTTGGAAAGACAATAAGAATAACTTTTTTTGCATAGGAATAATGTAAATGATTATAGTGTAAAGTTATTTTAAAACAGTAATATTTATGTCAGGGGAATATTTTATGTAAATTACTGGACAAATTATTAACTTACTTCGATTCATCTGTTCCCCATCTTTGCTCTCCAGCTTTATATAATTCTTCTGCATCTCTACGTGCTCGACACTCATCAACATTTTGACTTTCATCTCTATCCCCTTGTACTAATGCTACTAAGATACGTTTGAAATATCCAGATGTTTCATCTTTTAAATCTTTCTCGAGGGAACGACCTTTGTAAACTATTTAGAATAAAAGATTATAATATTGATTGAAATCGTCTATATTGGGAGTTCATATTTAAGGTTATTAGTCCATGAAGCAAAGATTATTCCACTTGAAATTTTGTCTCATTTTTGCATGTAATCAGAATTAATTTATTCAACGATTTATCGTTCTACTTCATTGATGCGTATAAAATACTCAATCATCCCCCTATTGTATTTTCTTAAATTAGTTACAAATGTAGATAATGAGTACTATTTCTGCTAAATGATAACTCTTTAGTTGTTTATATAGTAAGTAGGTGTACGAAGTTTGATTATATATAACTTACAATCTGACAGTTTGCTTTTTGCAAATTAGATATAAATAAATAAGTCGAATATAGCTATTCCATTCATTAAGTTGGCTTGTTGTGCTAAACAGTTTTCAGATACCAATATGTACGCTTTCCGTACGCCATTCTAACTCACTACTTGAATTAAGGGAAAGGAAGTGAAAAAACCCAAATCGAAATATATACACAAATTCATTCATGAATTTTATTCGGTCCATTGATTAAAAACAACATTAGATCAACCAGAAAAATCTATTCACGGCCAAGAGATAATTGTGATATGCTGACGAGAAAACATTATAGGTTGAAATTTAAGTCAGTTAATCTAGGGACATGGCTAAATTTAAGGTCACATTAATTATGTGAAATCCTCTATTCTGTTGCAAACAAACTAGAATCTCATAGTTGGAATGAATTTTATTTTTTCATCCGATTCATAGAAAGACGATTCGGAAACTAAACATTGTAACCTAATAATACAACAAACTAACTTGTGCAGAAGATGCTTTTTCCAAATATGTTAGTTTTATATGTGGGGCTTGTATTTAAATATATAAAGTCTTTAATATTTAAGAGTTTAATGCAACTCATCATATTTTAAAAGACTCTCCAAGTATATTCGGATGAAATAAGCATGAAAGCTAGCTTCGAGATTTCAGTTTTATGCTATAACCAAGACCTTTCTATTTTATGATAAGAACAATCAACTGTTCACTGGTAATTAGTTTGAAGATTAATTTTGCTGCAAGTTCTACTGAAAGGTGTGATATATGGAATCTCTTAAGTCCATAGTAACTCAGTTATTGCTTATAATATGACATGATAATGCTCCTGTCACATCATAAATGAATGTTGAAGATACTAAACCTTTCGGTTATAATTATGTTGATATTTCAATTGCTGATTGCTGAGAATTCCCAAATTATCATGAAAAAATCTATCCAATCTGTTCCGATTATTAAAGGTTATTCTGGTGATATCAGGAGAGGTTCTCTCAGTATATTTTTCACCATGGCTCTACACTAATATATATATTCTATATTATTTTAAAAGTAGGAAATTTACTTACTTCTTGTATAAGCTTCACGTATCTCCCTTATCTGTTCATTCGTTCGAGTGCATAAAATTTCAATCAAAACTTCTTCATTTGTACCAGCACCACGCATTGCTTTACGTAGTTCTGTTGCATCTAATTCCGATGGAGATCGACATAATGCTACCATACATTCATAAAAGTGTCCACTTAATTCAGATTCAAACTTAGAAGCTAATTCTTTTCCAAACATTGCCTTATATTTTTTTGTTATTATAACACGTTGGTTAGGACTTCTACGACCCATTACTTCTATTAATTCTTTTTCATTTGTTCCTAAACCAGCCATTGCTTTTCGTAAACGTTCACAATCTTCTTCTGGATTAAAATTTGCTGCATCTTTGACTGTTGGTTCAAACTAAATAGATAATGAAAATGGGCTGATTTAAATAAATACATTTATAAAATAGTCAAGCGATGCTATCTGAATGAATGCAATTACCATTTTTATCTTGTCATGATTTTGCACATACCACAATCTTTCTCATAATCACCGTAAGACCTGAAAATCGAGCAACATAACTATATGTATAATTGAAGGTGATGCCCAGTGCTTCCTCATTTTCACTGGTTTTCAACGAACATTTTATCGTAATGTGGTGGTTGGAGGTAGTCAACAGGAAATCCTGGATCTAGGTTTCGTGCTACTTGACACTCGTCAGCAAGGTGTACCTGATGCTCCCTGATGGATTTGATCCCGTATCACCCAGCTTCACAGTCAGAGATGTTAAATCGTAATAACAATTACATTCATACTGGATCATAATCAGATATATTTTTTTAAAAGCAAACATCTAATAGCTGTTCAACACGTAAGCTTTGTAGATTTTGAGAATTATCTTAAACAATACGATCACCTTCTAAACATTCCCCAGTAAATACACGTGAAAACAGTGTTTACAAAAAAACAATTATGTGACAGAGACAGATCTCAGTCCTTCCATTGATACTGAATGAAATGTGTTACTGAAGTTATTACTTATCTCATTTATACATATTGACTTTATATTGCTAATATGTATCTTTGATCACCATTTGTATAAGAGCTAGTGATTAATAATATTAAAATGAAGGCTTTATCTGATAGTTTCCTAAACAACCACTAACGTCTTCGATATTGTAGTTTGACCTTAGCGCTATGAGTCAGTAAATTATTTTTAAAAGCATGTAGCTACCCAACAAATAGCAGTGAGTATTCAATACAACAGGATTGTATAAATGAAGCCGAATAATACTGTATTTATTAAGCCTTCATGTACTTAACCATTTACATAATCTGTTAAATGAATAGGTTAATAAGACCATTAACTATGACTATCTGGAGTTTCTGACCTGTAAGTCAATTACCATGCTGAACCATCCTCACCAATCACCAGAACTAAACCTGTGGTTTCAGAATTCTCCGTAGTGCCTGAATTTTAAAAAATTCCAAGAATGTGATGTATGATGGAAAACAAAGATTGTACAAGCATACTGTCATACATGAAGAATATTTTGAAAAGGGTGAGATGAATGTTTCCTAACTTCTCGTAAAATAAAGTTTACATGACCTTAATTGGCATATTTACTGAGAAAACTTTGTTTGAATATGGGTTTCATTACAAATTCACAATAGCTGGAAAAGTTGAAAAATTTTGGAAACATCTTTTGTTTTGTTCGATAACTTCTTTCTCTAATTAATATGAAACCAACAAATTACCCTTTTTAAAAGTCACATTTCTCAATAGGCTATTGAATAGAAACATCTTAGTTTATTGTTTATACAATGTATATAGTAACAAAATCATTATGCAGATAGGAATTACAGATTCCCTTTATCTTCATTCACAATTTACCGTGAGGTTGAATGATCGTAAAAATGAATCAAACTATAAAAATCTCTGATTGATGAATCTCCTTATTAGATTTCTCATCTTATACATAACCAACGTTCCCTAGAAAAAAACTGATAGAGTATTGAATTATCTATCCATGTTTACGTACTTCGATTGTAAAACATCAATTATAAAATATGTGAGGAATAATTATGAGGATATGGGTAATGGAAAACCATTTAAATCAGAGGTATAACTGATGATGACAGTTAATATCTAATATTAAGCCTCTTGATATTTCTCAGGTCAACAAAATGTTAATTGGGAAGCGAGTGTTAAGTATTGAATTTCACACTAATTTCTAAAGGTAATTACCTTTAGTATCCATTATATCACCAATATTTCATCCTAAAATTTAATGTAAATTATATGGTAGATAAAAGTGCAGATATTCGAAGTTTCGCCACATTTGTATGCTACGGATACTAATAATATGTATCGTGATCAAACTGATGTAGGTTTAGTAGATCTGAAATACTGAATCTGGAGTTGAAAGTCGAACTATTTCTATTTTAGCTAATAGGTGGATGACTTTGCACCACTAGGAAAACCAGTGAAAATCAGGAAACACTAAACGCATATTTCGTTCTAGCATGGGACTCCTTAGCATTTCTCATCCAAAATTCCACAGGGCATTATACACAGGACCTTCAGAATTCTGAATCAGCGCCTAACTCTTAATCATGGGTACTGATTGTTAGGAAGTTTCACACTAAGGTAAAACAGAAATCAGAAATACTTCTTGATTCTCAATAGTTATCTAATCAAGTTCAGTTTACCTCTAAAATGCTTGATAATATTCACAATCCCCTTTTCCCCCTTATGGAACCATGACCATCAGAATTTACCTTAACCTCAACAAACTTTCTCTCTATGTGCAAATGCTTGGCATTGATTTACATTTTTTCTTCCTATATTACTTACTGACTTATTATCGGTCAACATTATTTACATTTGCTTCTGAATAATACTTTATTACCATTATTATGGCATGTGCTACTTATATTGACATAAGTAGTATATGAAGTTAATCGTGAACAGAAGGTCTGGCAGCAGAGACACAAGAGGATCGAACGGTAAAGAATGGGAACAGGATGCAATTTGTATGAAAATGCAAGAACAATGAAGTCTGAATCATTGTGAGAAAACTGGTGGACATTTTGCAAATCAAGCATTTGCTTTATGGTTGTTAGATCTTATTAACAAGTCATGTAATTTTATTAAATACATCCGATTGTCACCATTCATTTTCTTGTTCACTGCATTATCGTTAAATTTATATTATTACTATGAGATAACGAACCCATTCATTTAAAGAAAGTTGCTTATAAAATCCGCTTAACAATTCCATTTTACACAAACAAAATCTTCATAAATGAAACCTTCATTCTATGATTTTGTTTTGTTTTGATAAAAAAAAGTTTTTTATTTATGTACTTTTCATTTTATTTTTGGGTAGGGCGTTTTTTACAACGACCTTATATCAGCTGTCATTAAAAACGTAAACTACTGTATTCCATTTCAATAGTCTATTATTATATTACTTACTAGATTATGAACTCACTCCTACACAGGGTTGTGAATGTTCACTAGTGATGGGAGATAAGTTAGGATCTGTAAATAATCGATTTACTTTAAAAGAAAGAGGAATTTCAAAATCCTTCAAGGCATATAAACAAGCCTATTAACGAAGGGTGATAATTAAAAGCTTTCCATGTACGTTCTTCAACATTATTAAGATTTAAACAGATTTCAATCATTTAAGACTATTAGATTAAAATAACAGACAAAGAAATAACATAGCCTTTCTTCCAAGTTCCATTAACTAAACTAAAATGAATTATTTCAAATACATAATCTGAATTAGTCCTTATATACTGCTGAATGATTAAGGATAAACAATAATCTTTTCCTGTTTTAGCTAATCTAGTCCATTTAGTGTAATCCACAGATTGAAGTTAACTCTGTATCTAATTATAAACGCCGTTGTTCAATAGTGCAATTACTAAACAAATGAATTACAAGTTATTTGAATACAGTTGTTGACGAACTTCATAAGCTTCACATATAACCTTCTAGGTAAAACTAATTTGTTAATTAGAGCATACCTTACAAATATTTAAGAATTAATGAAAACTACTACTGAATTTAAAAAAGAAGATAAATAAAGCCAAATGAAGTGAATACATGTTGATAGACGTATATGACTTACAATCTCACTATTAGGATTGGATTGGCAGATATTCTGATCAGTTCGTAAATTGCTACCATTATTATATTCATTAGTTTGTGTTCCAAAACGAGGGGCTCCTGGAACATAACCCGATGACTGTGCAACAGGATATGGGTTATTTCTTGAAACATTTTCTCCTTGTGTTGAATATGTAAATCCAGTTGGATTGGAAGGTTGAAATCCTCCAGAACATGAATTAGGATAGTATCCTGATGTATAATCTGCACCTCCCACCATAGGCCCTGGACCTCCGCCCGCGAATCCTATCCCTCCATCTATTGAACTTTGTCCCCCTACTGAAAATCCTAGTCCACTTGTTGTTGGTAATCCTTGTCTCTTACCTGGTAACCCTGGTCCTCCAACCGGGTAACCTGGTCCTCCATCTGGATATCTTGAATTTCTATTTGGATAATTTGAACCTTGATTAGGAAAATTATCTTGTGTTCCTGATAAATTCCATGCACTCAAATCAGGGTAATTAGGATTCATTTAAGTAACGGAAAAGGATGTAATAATCGCTTTGTGATTGTATCAATTAATTCAAACATTGTTATGTCAAGATACATCTTTTAAATATAAATGAGCTAATAATTAATTGGTTAATTTGATCTGAATGTGTGGGTGGATTTTGTGATGAGTGGGTATGAAAGTTACTATAAATATCTTATTTCATTTCTTATTGGATAAATTAACCTAGTGAAGTGAATTCTTTCAACAGTTTTGTCATTACTATTTCACTAATTTTTGTTGTTGTGTTTAATAAGTAGCATTTTAGTGCATCTCATAGGTACTAAAAATAACATGTTTATGAATAAAGAAATAAAGGATTTAGCAAGTTTCATCATGTCAATTTCAGTGAACATAAAAAAGTCGTAATTTACTGGAATGTTGATTCGTTTTTGTGAAGTAGATAATCTGATTGAGAAAATTTAGATTTATCATTTACTTACTTACGCCTGTTACTCCTGATCGAGCATAGACCGCAAACCAGCATTCTACAACCCACTCTGTCCTCTGCCTTCTTTTCTAGTTCCATCCAATTCTTGTTCATTATTCTCATGTTTATTTCCATTTCCCGGCGTAGTGTGTTCTTTGATCTTCCTCTCCTTCTTTGGCCTTGAGGATTCCATGTGAGGGCTTGTCTTGTGACGCAGTTGGGTGATTTCCTCAATGTGTGTCCTATCCACTTCCAGCGCTTCTTCCTGATTTCTTCCTCAGCTGGGATCTAGTCTGTTCTTTTCCACAGTAGGTTGTTGCTAATAGTGTCCGACCAACGGATCTGAAGTATTTTGCGTAGACAACCGTTAATAAACACCTGTATTTTCTGGATGATGGCTTTCGTAGTTCTCCAGGTTTCTACCCCATACAGTAGGACTGTCTTGACATTCTTATTGAAAATCCTGACCTTAGTGTTGGTAGATTTATCATTTACTTTATCGAAAATGCTGTTGAAAATCATACAGATTATTATGTAATTAACAGATACATTGATCTAGTCTGTTAAGTTATGTAGGAAATGTAAATAAAACACAGCCAGAGGTAAACTTAAACGAACAAAATTATAATAGTGAAAATGTACATGAAGAGAATAATAAATTATTTATTCATTTATTTGAATACATAAATATTGGTACAAAGAAGCACCGAATACATATGTACCACACAAGTCACTTGATTTGTGTGTTGGCTATGATACTATCCGGATGCTCAAACTGAAGCAGATGGTTTTCTTAGGGAGCCACATTCCAAGCCTTCAACTTAAAGGTTTGACCCAAAAGTCAGTGGAGTAACGTCAGGAGATGCTGTCCCATGATAGCCGGTGACCAACGATAGCTTCGTACGCCATTTAGTTTCTTGAGATCCTGGAGACCATGTGAACCATTGGTTTGGAATCAGGGTTTTCCAACTCCCCTGTGTGGATCTTCCATATCCACCAACCCGGTTAAATTACCGGACATTCGCTTTTCGTCCTCTCAATTTCATAAGCAACAATCTAACCGCGAGAAGGTAGTGAGTAGGACTTCCCCGTCAGTGCTTGGATGTAAGTGGCCATGTGAGAGCATTTCGAGAGCGAGGACTCTCCGCACTTTCGACAGTACCAGAGCATTTGGGGGTAATAATAAAGGCAGTATCGTTTAACTCTACTGTCTTGTATTGAAACGAAAAATTCGATCCCCTGTTGTTTTTGATGGTTTCTAACTGGTATCAGTCAATGACAGTTGTCTATATGTTATGTCCCGACAAGAATAATGAATGTTAACTTTTGGGATTTATTGATGGACCAATACTAAACGTATATTTCTATTGTATAATTATTAAGTAACTAAACCATATTTATTCATATTTCTCTTATTATAAGCTTTATTTTGACCCATAAATTATTATTATACGTCTTACCATTCTTGAGTTATACCAAGTATATTAATTACTACCTCCCTCATTCACAGCCACATCTGGCTGATTCTTGTACAAATGTTGTTTCATATTTTATTGGTACGTTGTGGTTTGTTTGATTGGTATATAAACTCAGTATGTTTGAAATATAGTGATTCATATTGCAGAGGCTGAGACTGGTGTCTTGGACTTAACTGGCTGGACTTGGCGGAAAGCAGCGCCAATCAAAACTCTAGACTGCTCTCACGTGTTTTACGCGTCCTTGGTCCGATCGATAATTCACTGCCCTCTAATCGGTGGTCACGAGTTGTAACACTATGATGAAAACCCACTTCAAGTTTATCACTTTCTACAAACTCTTTACACTAATAAAAAGCAAAAAAACAATCAATTTAATAAAGTCATGAAAAAATCATTCTAAAATACTCAATAATCTTAATTCTTACTACGTGTATATGCAATATATTACATAATTTTTGATAACTATTGAATCATATTTGTAAGTTAGTTAAGACAATTCTTTCGTTTTCATAAAGATCCTTGAATAACTTCAATAACAGTAAACGATACACGTTCCGGAATCAGAAAAAATATTTTAAAAAACAAATAACTAAAATCACGATTAAGAATTTAAAGAAAAAATAATTATCTCACAAGAAAAGGTCAATATCTTATTGAAATGATATTTACAAAGGGTATGAAATGTTTCATTAAACTTTCACATTACTCTACTGAAATGGTTAAAATAATAATCTTAAACTACTTTTTCAACAGTCAGAAAGCAGGTAATATAAATAATTTACGATGTAAGTACGATATAGGTAGTATGATCTTTCAAGAGTTTCAGAATTGAATGATGGAAAAATTCATTACTTCTAATTAATCCTTTCGCCAGAGCACACTCAAAGAAGAAAAATGCTACTTTACATTCGTTCACAACCCTTTTATGTACCCAATCGGAGAAATGCATTTTTTTTCTTAATAATTCAACGATTTTAGAATTTTCGGATTTATACGGCATAGTAAAGAGAAGTCAGATCCGCTCAATGCCACTCGCTGTTTTGTTTAAACAACCTTGAATGGCCTGAGATGAGACAGTCATTTCGTAATTCAATTGCTGTGGGTTTGTTGGGTGTCCGTTGGGTTGCACGAATATTAGGTGTTCTCATATTTAAGTGGTCTTTTGCTGAAGCAAAACCACAAAGTGATTGTGAAGAACATTGGTTTAGCTCTCCCTGTCTTATTGTGCACACGTTGGATCGATTGTTGGTTCGTAAATTTCCAATCTCCTTATTTTTGAGGGAATTTTGTCCTGTTTGCGTAACTTTTGAGGGAAACCGTTATAGAAAACTTTGAGGAAATGGCAAGAAAGCTCGGAAATTTCTCCAGATCTGGGGAAAATCCCGAAAGTGTTTAGGGAAATTTTGAGTTTTCCCCAATATTTCTACTAAAACGTATTACACTTTAAGGTTTTTCCCCAAACTTTGGAGAAAACTAACATATTTCTTATGACTTTGGGTAAAACCCAAATATTTGCCTAAAGTTTACCCAAGGTATTGAGAATGGAATACCAATTGAGATACCAATTTCTTTAATGAACCTCATCGCCTTTGTTTAAAATCTGATAAGTTTCAGAAAATAAGAATAACTTAAAAGTTCTAGATACGTGAACGTTATGTGGATCGCTGTTTTACTCAACGATTAAGAGGAAATATCAAATAACCGGTAAATCTTAAATGTTGGTCGTATTTTTTTCAGTTAGTAAATTTTTTTAAGCGACGAATAACTCATTTTTAATAACTACCCAGTGCTGTTGGTAGTACTTTATGTTCAAGAGATATTTTAGTCGACGTAAGCGAGGTGTTTCAACGTATAATACTGAACAGGCGTTTCAGAAGCTGGACTTGTTATAACTTTATGTCCGGCTTTTTATAACGTGATTTATCCACCTATCAAAATACGACTTATTCCATATTAGCACTATGCCAAACCAATGTCGTTCGACCGGTATGAGCAGCCTAGCGTCCTTATTAATCCTATGTCCGCTTAGCCTATCCACTTGAGTCCAGAACACCAATACCAGCTTCCACTATGCGAATTCTATATTCCAAGCATACTGGGTTTATATATCAACCAGACAGACCACAACGTACCATAAAATAGAAAATAATATTTGTACAATATTTGGCCAAATGTGGCTGTGAATGTGGGAGGCAGTAGTCAATAAACTGAAAATAGGTTAAGAACCGTAAATCGTACAATAATAATATGTAGGTCAAAAAGAAGCTTATAATAAAAGCAATATAAACATACATAATTTAATTATTGAATACTTATACCATAAGAATATATAGATGATATTAGTCAATTAATCTGTCTCAGATGTTACTCACGATTTAATCTTCGCTCGGATATTACAGGACTGAATTCCGCAGTGTGTTAAAGAAATTTCAAAACGTAAGGTAGAATAATTTTCCCCTTCTCAAACTACCCATACTCATTACATTCATGTCGAAAGTAAACTGCTTTTTTATCAATTCTACTTTGTAGATGTTCGTTATTTTAGTTGATAATAACGAATAATTTTGGTCGGGGCGTCCTGTTCTGTGTGCCTGGAAGCGGAAGGAATTGCGAGTAGATGTAACCTGAATCATGGATGAATTGGGACATGCCGATGTCTTTGCCGTCATATGCTTCTGGTATACATAAGAAGACGAACTGTTACAGGTAAGCTCGATCAATTATGAAATATAAACTGTATAGTATATCATATTCTTAGACATCGCAGTAGATGGAAGATAGATAACACGCACACCTTCCTTAATAGCATAACAATTTCACTATCCAGACAAGTCAAACAGTATGTACAGACTCAACAAATCCAATTTTTACATATGAATCATCAATAACTAGGTAAAACTGTAGTTTCACTAACGCTTGTCTTTGTATAGTATTCTTTACGATAGAATACAACAAAGTGTTGCAACGTGACAAGAGCTGTTTACTATGAGAGGTTCTTTGTAGTAGTATTTTTTAACTTAACTATATATCCAACTTGTAAACTGATTTTTCTTCATTAAATGTTGCTCTTCCTGTACCAGTAGTAATGATGCATCAATAAACTATTGCCCAATTTTTATTTTTGCCTTCTT